TTCCTCGCCAGTCGCGGGGATGGCGCCCCCACTGGCTCTCTGAGGGCCGCCCAGAGGGGGACCGTCCACGGTCCAGCGCGCCCCGGGCCAGCCCCGTCTTGAGGCAGGCCTTGGGATGCGACGCGGGCCGAAGGCTGCCCGCGCCCTCTGTGGGGGGGAGCAGGAGGAGGGGAGCAGCACGGGCGGCCGGGAGGGGAAGGGGAAGGGGCCGGGGGGCGGGGGCCGTCGCGGTGAGCGGGCGGGCAGCCTCCCTCATCCCTCCTCCCTCCTCCCTCCTCCCTCCTCCTTCCTCCTTCCTCCTCCCCCTCCCTCCCTCCTCCCTCCTCCCTCCTCCCTCTCCCTCCTCCTCCCCTCCTCCCTCCTCCCTCCTCCCTCCTCCCTCCTCCCTCCCTCCCTCCTCCTCCTCCCTCCTCCTCCTCCTCCCCTCCTCCTCCCCTCCTCCTCGCTCCTCTCCTCCTCTCCTCCTGCTCCTGCTCCTCTCCTCCTGCTCCTGCTCCTCTGCTCCTGTTCCTGTTTCTGCTCCTGCTCCCCCTCCCCCTCGCCCTCCTCCTCCCCCTCGCCCTCCACCTCCCTCCGCCCCTCCAACTTCTGGTGGTGGTGGTGGTGAAAAGGGGCCCAACAGCACGGCTGCCCCTCGGTCTTGATCACGAAGTACCGGGTGCCCGGGTTGCTGTGGATCTTCGAGGGGGGCGGCGCCGTCGAGGGCAGGGCGCGCGGCGCGGCCCCCGCCGCGGCGGCGCCTGGGACCGCCGGCGGCCGGGCGCTCCGGGCGACCAGCGCCAGGCTCGTGACCTCGCGGGCCCTTGCGAGGCTCTTCCTCCCCAGACCCCCTCGCGCCTCGAATAAAATCGCGGCGGGAAGTTTCTCGTTATTTTTGGTCTCTGGGGGCCCTCGCTGGGCCTCGGGACCGTCAGGAACGACGCGGGAGGAAGAACCCGTAGACGGGGAAGGGTCCAGACTTCTGAGGATCACGTCATGAAACAAACACGACGTCGGGGGGCTGCGTCTCCCTGCCCCTCCTCCCCTCTCCGACTCCCCCTCCCCTCTCCCCTCTCTCCGCCCCCTGTTCCCCCATCCCCTTCCCCGTCCCCCAGTCGGGCGTGGCTGGGACGAGGGCACATCCATCCCAGAGCGATCCAGAAGGCTCTCCGAGCGTTCCGGGTGCCACTCTGGCACGGCTGGGGCTGCTGAGCTGCACGATTGCCCTGTCAGACAGCACGCCAACCGGCCATCGAATCCGTTACCTAGCCCGCACGCTCCAGCGCTTCAGAACCGAACAGGGTGAAAGCATGTTCCTGGCAAGCAAGCAATACCCCCCTGGCGACATCGATTGCACACAAAAATTCTCCGACGGCAAGGCCCCGCATGATAAGATCCTTGATGTGCACGTGCGTGACTCGTGACGGAGAGGGCGCGCCGCTGGGTGACCCCACCCCTTTCCCCGATCCGTCGTCGGGGACCCCCCCCTTCCCCCCCCCCTTCCCGGTCCGTCGTCGGAGACCCCCCCTCATCCCCTTTCCCGGTCCGTCGTCGGGGAAGCCCCCCCCCCCCCCCCATTTTCAAAAGCGTGGGGGGGTCCGACCCCCTCCCCCCTCCCCCCCTTTGGCCGCCAAGTTCGACCCCCCCCAATCCCCCCCTTTCGCCACGGCGCCCCCAAGCTCTGGAACCCAACCCCCGCCACCCCTTATACTAATCCTCGCCCTTACCCGAACCCCTTAAACTAACCCCAAACTCTAACCCTAGCCCCAAACAGTACTCACTACTCATTACGCCCTACTCACTACCCACTACTCACTACTCGCTACGCACCACTCACATATCACTACTCACTACTCACTAATCACAACTCCCTACTCCCTACCCACTACTCAATACCCCCACTACCCACTACTCACTACTCCCTACTCACTACTCAATACTCACTAAACACAACTCACTACCTACTACTCACGACTTACTAATCACTACTCACTACCCACAAACCACGATCCACTACTAACTGCTCATTACTCACACTTCACTACTCACTGCTCACTGCCCACAACTCACTACTCACTGCACACTATTCGCTAACTCACTACTCATGACCCACCACTCACTATTCACTACTCTCTACTCGCTACTCACTACTCACTACTCACTACTAGCTACCCACTCCGCCCTTCTCAAAACTCACTACTCACCCTACTCAATACTCGCTACTCACCACTCACTACTCACGACTCGCTACTCCCGACTCGCTACTCACCACTCCCGATTCAATACTCACTACTGGCTGCTCCCTCCTCACGATTCACTACCCACAACGCCCTACTCGCTTCAAACTACGCACTGTTCGATACTCACTACTCGCTACTAACTACTCACTACCCACTACCCACTACTCACTACTCCGCAATTCACTACTCACTAAACACCACTCATTACGCACTACTCACTACTCCCTACTCACGGCTCACTACTCCCTACTCACTACTACCTGCTCACTACCCACTACTCCATACTCACGACTCCCTACTCAATGCTTACTACTCGCCACTCACTACTCACTGATCAGCATTCACCACTCAGTATTCACTACTTTACAATTCAGCACTCAGCACTCACTCCTCACGAGCCACTACTCCCCACTCCCTCCTCCCGATGCCCTACTCACTATTCACTACCCACTACTCACTGCTCACGACGCACTACTCACCACTCACTGCTTACTACACACTACCCCCTACTCCGTACTCCCTACCCACCTTCTCCCACGCAGGAAGGAGAAGCGGGAGAAGCCCCCTGTTCGGCGCGAAGGGGGGAGGGGGGGTTCGAACCCCCCCCCTTTCCAGCGCCAGGTGGGGGAAAAGGGGGGGTCTGGACCCCCCCCCCCCTTCAGGAGGGGGGGGGGGGGTCGGACCCCCCTCCCCTCCTTAAGGGGGGAAGGGGGGGGAGTCGAAAATCTCACCCCCCCCTTTGAAGGGGGGAGGGGGTGGGGGTTCTGCGAGCACACCCCCTCTTTTCAATTACAAGGTCATCCAGTGGCGCGCTTTCCGTGACAGACAGTCGACGGCTAGCGATGGAGATGGTGCTAGGATGCCAGGATGATCGGACGCCAGGACGCAAGGAAACCAGCATTCCAAGACACCAAGATGCTAGGATGCAATGTGCCAGGATGCCACGGTGCCAGGATGCCAGGCGGGCAGGGGGCGAGGAGGCCTGGATGACAGCATGGCAAGATCCCAGAATGCCAGGAATGCCAGGGTGCCAGGATGCCAGGCTGCCAGAAGGACAGGATGCCAGCACGGCAAGATTCCAGGATGCCTGTGCAACCTGTGCGGCCCGTGGGATATGCGGGACCTATGGGACCTGTGGAACATGTAGGGCCCGTGCGACCTGTCGGGCCTATGGGGCCTGTGGAACATGTGGGACTTGTGTGACCTGTGGGAGCTATGGGACCAGTGCCGTCTGTAGGGCGTATGGGAGTTATGGGTCCTGGGGGAATTGTGCAACCTGTGCTACCTGTAGGACCTTCGAAACCTGTGAGGCTTGTGGGACATGTGCGACCTGCGGGGCGTGTGCGACTTGCGGGGGCCGTGGGACCTGTGAGACTGTCAGAACTGCGGGGCCTGTGCCTGAATGCCAGGGATGCCAGGAATGCCAGAGCGTCAAGGATTCCAAAGATACCAGTGATACCAATGCCAGCAATGGCCGTCTGGGAGCAAGGGGAGCCCGAAGTGGCCCACAGTTAGTTCTGGAAACTCGAAATCCACAGAGGAATAACATTCTGGCATCACGAAGAGCGACGAGCCCCAAGTGGCCTGCAGTTGGCTCTGGACATTCAAAATCAACCCTAGGGATGGTGTTCTGGGAGCACGACGATCCCGAAGTGGCCTACAGCTGGCTCACGACATTCCATACCAGCCCCTGGAGTGGATGTCTGGGAGCAGAAATGGCCCAAAGTGCCCTGCAGCTGGCTCCAGACACTCGAAATCAGCGCTGGGAGATGAACGCGGGCTCCAGATCCGAACATCGGAAGCCCCAAAGCGCCGACTGGCACAAGTCTTAGGACGACCGCCTCCGATGCGTTTGATGGAGCCTCTGTGGAACTCACGCCATCCTACCCATAGAGGAAAAAGAACTATGCACATACGCCGATTCTGGCCAGGCCCATCCTGAGCCCAGGATCGGTGCACACGCCCCCCCACCTTGGCCAGGAAGGCATGTGCACCGATCCTGGGTCAAGGACGGGCCTTGCCAGGATCGGTGCATGTGCATAGCTCTCTTCGCCCGATTGATAGAGTCTCCGTGGAACTCGCGCCATCCTACCCACAGCGCGCGAGAGAGGCGGGCCCCGCCACGCCCCCCGGGGACCACCTCAGGGAGCAGCCCCGACGTCGAACAGGTTCCCCGCCCTAGACTTAGGTCGGGCGCGCCCCCCCACAGGCGGATCTCGGAGGACACACGAACGACGGCCAGAACACATCCGAAAATCATCCGAACATAAGTTCTCTCTCTCTATATCTCTCTCTATATATACATAGATGCCCCGCACGAGTTGGGGACTATTCTTTGAACATCCCCCCCCTGTGGAGGGGCACGCCCGACTTACAAACCGAGGCCCGAGCAAGCGGCCCGCACACCGGGAGCCACCCTGCCGACCTCCCGGGGGCCCGCAGAGGCCCCCCCGTGCTTCGGCGTCTGGGCCGGCATCCGTGCGTGCCGTCCCTCGAGAGGAGGCGAGAGGAGAGGGAGGGGAGGGGAGGGAGGGGAGGGAGGAGGGGAAGGAGGAGGGAAGGGAGGAGGGAAGGGAGGAGGGGGAGGGAGTGGAGGGAGGAGGGGGAGGGGAGGGAGGGGAGGGGAGGGGAGGGGACTGGACCTCGGGAGCAGGCTCGGCCGGGTTGTCCTCGACCCACTCGTCCTCGCCGTCCGACGCCGCCGCGAAGCTGAGGTCCATGCCCGCGGCCCCCGCCCCTGCCCGCCCGAGGGGGGAAAAAGGGCAGAAAAGAAAAATCGGCGGCGCACCTGGAAGGGAAGCGAGAGGGGGCAGGCCTTCTCTCGGCCACGCGCAAGAGTGACCCTATAGGCAAGCGTGACTTTGGGTGCGCGGCGTGGGCGCGAAAGCGCCCAACCCAAGCGCGCAAGCCGCTGCTAGTGCATCGATTTCAGCGATCGGGGGACCCTCGTGTTAGGTCGAGCATGTCCCCCGAGAGGCGGATTCTGGACGAAAAATAAAAAATGCCAACAAATACCGCACAGCATGGTCAAACATTGTCAAAACATCGCCCCCAGACAATTTTGACTATTGTTGAATGTACCTCCTGTAAAGGGACAGGCCCGGCTTCATGCTATCGCATTGATTTCAGCGGTCGTGGGACCCCGATGGGCCCGCACCAGTGGTCACTCCGGCAAGAGGTCACTCTTACGTGTCGCCGATTCTCAGAAACGGTGGCACGGCTTCTCATTGAAGCCCCTTCGACCTTCTGAAAAGCCCTCCGTGGGCTTGCCGAGCCTTCTGAGGAGGCCCGCCCCTCTGACTGCCTACCAAACCACCCCAACCCAAAGACCCGAATGTCGCCCGAATTTCGGGTTGGGGAGGGTAACGGGCTTCATATGTGTTTTTTTCAATGTTCCCCGACCCACCCCCCACTGGAAATGAAGGGCAAATCGGGGCCTTCGGGTTGGGTTGGGGTGGTTCGGTGGGTGGTGACTCTCTGCCTTCCCCACTGGGAGCGCCGCCAGAAGGAGGGAGAGGAGGACGGCGACTGCGATCTGGGAGGTCTACGAATCCACTTCGCGAGATACAGCCCCCAACGCAGCCACCGCACCAACCACCAGCGAGGCCGCCAGCCCAGCTACCAAGACAGGAGCTAGCGCAGCCACCAGCGCAATCACCAGCGCAGCCACCAGCGCAGTCATCAGCATAACCGCTAGCACAACCACCAGCACGACCACCGACGCAACGACCGCCAGGGCAGCACACCCGCCAGAAGGAGCTGGGCCAGCTTTCCCGAATTCACGAATTTGCCGGAAGACATGTTTACATCCAGCTTGGAAGAGTGTGGATCAAATCTGCTCGGCGCCGCAACGCCCGACAGCCCTGGGATCACAGCCCCTTGCTGGACATGTTGTGCAGGGTTGGGTTGGGTCCGTCCACGCGCTCGCTCAACACGCGAGCGCGCTCGCAGCATTCGCACTTTCGCTGGACTCCCACTGCATGGAATGATGCCCTTCATGCGCCACCGCATGCGACACGGCAAACGCGTCACAGCATGCAGCACAAAGCGCCAGCGCCGCCCGCCGGTAGAGGAGGGAAGAGGAGAGAGGGGAGAGGAGTAGGAGGAGGAGGAGGAGGAGGAGGAGGAGGAGGAGAAAGAAGGAGGGGGAGGAGAAGGAGGAGGAGACGAGCGTAAAAAAGGAAAGAGGAGGAGGAGGAGGAGGAGGAGGAGGAGGAGGAGGAGGAGGAGAAGGAGACGGAGGAGGCGGAGGAGGAGGAGGAGCTCGTCGGGGTCTGGGCTCGGTTCGGCCTCCCCGGCGGATTCCAAGACACTCCGACGTGCCAGCCGCAAAATTGGCCCCTCGGAGGCTCGAGATGGTCTCCCCCCCCTTCCTCTTGGAGCCGGCCCACAGCCCCTGGAGCTGGACCTCCGGGTCCGGCTTCGAAGAAGGCTCACCAGACGAGTGCGCTCCACTACTCGCAAAGTAACTACTCGCCAATGGCCTGGGCCCGCCGCGGGGGATCTAGACTAGAAATTACATCAAGGCAGACATGTGTTCTGTTCGGAAGCAAGCGAGTGGGCACTTTGCGAGTAGTGGAACGCGCCTGGACCAGGCTGCGCAGCAGGCGCGAGGGTTTCTGAGAAGCCCCGCTGGCCTCTGGAGCAGGCCTGCCACCTTTCGCTTCCCCCCTCCGGGCTCACCGCCGCTGCGAGCTGGGGGCCCCCGCCGTGGCCGTGCTGGGCCTGCGCGCGCAGGGCCATCCGCGACGGCCTCGCCCTCGCGCGCGCTGCCGGCATCGTGCGGCCCCGGCGCGACGAAGCGCGCCACCTTCGATCGGGGTGGCCGCCGTGGGCTCGCCGACGTCCACGTCGCACCCGCCCGCGCGCGCCAGCGTCGGCGGCGCGCGAGGGGGGGAAGCGAGCAGCAGAAGGCCTTCTCAGAGGGCGGCAGGGGGTTCTCGGAAGCCCTCCGGCCTGCTGGAAGAGTGTCCTGCGTCTTCGGGGAGGGATCGGGAAGCTTCTTCGACGGCCGGGGGGCGTCTGGGCCTCCTGAGCAGGCCTGCCTCCTCCTCGCTTCCCCCCTTCCCGGCTCGCCGCCGACGGAGGCCATCGTCGCTCCTGGGCTGCTTCGTGCCTGCGGGAGTCGCCCCGGTGCCGTCCGTCGGCAGGAGGGCGGGCGGCTGTCGTCGGGCAGTGCCCTCTCCGCGGCCTCGCCTTCGGCGAGGCACTGCGGCCGCCTCTCCTGGACCCCCTCCCCGGCGTCGCGGACAAGCTCGGGGCTCGAGCGCAGATCCTTGAACTCCGCACGCGCCCCCGCGAATGTGTGTAGATAAGTACGTATATGTGTGCTTCGCTGTTCTCCGTCGAGGGAGGGGGGGGAGAATCGGGCGCACGCGACCATGGATCTCACCGCTCCGCAAACGCTGCGCGCGGGGGCGCCAGGTCCACGGAGCAGGAAGCCAGCGCCGCCCGGTTCGGCGACGGCGCGCGCCGGTTCGGCGCGGAAGCGGGGCCGAAGCACTGCGCCGCGGCCCCCGAAGCACTGCGCCGCGGCCGCCCGACGTGGGGGCGGAGCGCGCCGGTGTCTGCACGGAAACGGGGCCCGTCTCTGTCGGCTACACGCAAGGGCTTAGTGGGCTCTGGAAACGACAGGGCCGTTTTTCTACCGGTTCCGTTTTGCCGTTTTTGTTGCGGGCTCCGACGCCGTATGTTTACCGGTTCCGTCGCCGTTTTTTGACCAGTTCCGGCTCCGGCTCCAATCCTGGAGCCGTTTTTTTGCCGTTTCCGGTCGCCGTTTTTTGCCGCTTCCATTTTCAAGGGACATCATTTTGGAAACAGTGAAAAAAACGGTCCTGCCGTTTCCGGGGCCCACAAAGTGCAAGGGTGACCCTGGGCAAGAGAGACCTTTGGTGCGCGGCCCAGGGGGGGGGCCTTTGGGAACACCGCCGGGTTGCTCTCGTATCGCATTCAGCGATCGAGGGGTTCCGTGGGGCCCGCACCAAAGGTCACTCCGGCGAAGGGTCCCTCTGAGGTGTAGCCGACTCTGATCAGCGGGCCCTGCTCCACGGTGGCGCCTCCAGCCCGAAGGCGCACACCACGCGCGTCCACGGATCGGGGACAGAAAGTACCCCCCCGAAGCAGGGGGCAAGTGCAGCCCTGCTTCGGCGACGGTGCGCGTCGCTATGGCGCGGAAGCGAGGCCTACGGCTCATGCGCGCGCCCTGCAGTCGTCGTCCTGCCAGAAGGGAAGTGCTGAATAAGGCACGAAGTCGCACGCCACGTGGTCCAAGGCCGTGCCCCTGCCGACCACAGTCGCCGCTGGCCAGAAATCCCGGGCAGCCCCTGCTCTGTCTGGCTGTCGCGGATGCTGCACGCCGCCTGCGCCTCCAGGCCCACAGCGTCCACGAACGCACGCGCCCACTCGGCATCATCAGCCTACAAGCGCAGTCCTCAAGCTGGAATAGGAGGAAGAGGACGACGGAGGAAGAAGGAGGAAGGAGCAAGTCTGGGCATGTGAACGGCAGCGCCTAACCCCTCTGCGCTCGCCTCCCCCCTCGCAACCCCTCTCCCTCCCCCCGCTTTCCCCTGCTCTTGCCTTCTCCCGCCTTCCTGCCCACCGACGCAAATACTCAAGCCCCCTCTCCCACATCGCCTTCGTTCACATCCCCCGCTCGCCCGCGATCCCCCGCTCGCCCGCGCCTCCCTCCTGCATGTCCCATCCCTGCTCTGACGTTCCCCTCTTTCCACCCTCCCTTTGGAAACCTGGAATTTGGCACCAACACCAGCCCAGGGGGTTGCCTCCACAGGGGGGAAGATGATCCTAGATTCCGGTGGTGGTGGCAATATTTCGGCCACCTTGGAATCCAGGATATGACCACCATCACCGAAATCGGGATCGCCTTCCCTCGGTGGAGGCACACCGCCGATTTTGGTGTTGGCGTCAACCTCTGGACCTGCGAGGGTATCCCTCCCACCTCACCCCTGCCCCTGGCCAGTCCCCTCTTGCCTCCCGACGCTGCCCCGCCGCTTCTCCGACGGCCCTGACCACTGGCGGTGGGCCCCCCAAGGGTGGCCGACTGCACGTGCTCGCTATGTCCCCCGCCTTCCGCAACGACCAGTTTGGCTTTCTCGCCTTTTCGCTTCCGATGGCCACCCGAGGTTTCAAGGTGGCTCCAAGATGGCCCAAGAGGGCTCCAAGAGCGCTCCCAAGGCTCCCACGTGCGGTTCAAGAGCGCCCCAAGAGGCGCCCAGGAGGCCCCAACAGGCGCCCAAGAGGCCTCCAAGAAGCCCCCAAGAGACCCCCAAGCGGCCCCAAAAAGCTCTCCGAGGCACCCAAGACGCTCTAAGAGGCGCCCGTGACCGCCAAGAGGCCCCCCAGACGCTCCAAGAGGCCCCCGCTGGGGGACCCTTCCTCTATGTGCTGCCCACTTCCCTGATCGAGGCAATTCCTCTAAGCATCCTTTCCGGATGGGCTGGTGGGGTTACTTTTTTGATTGCGAGTGACGCGGCAGAGGCCGCGCACCGTCAACAGGGTCGATCAGCGGAAAACATAACAAGCCACTACGTGGGCAGCGCAAGTGGGACGAAACAGCACGAGGCGGAAGAGGGAGAAACGGGACGAGACTGAACAAGAAACGAAGAGAAAAGAAACCACAACAGAGAGCGAGGAAACGCGCCGCAGCTCAGGCTCAGGCAAACCCCTTGCCGAGGAACCGGAACTTGTAGTAGAGCGTCGCGCCCAGGCCAAAGGACACAGCTGGTGGGGTTACTTTTTTGATCTGAGGGCGGGTCAGCTGGCGGGGTTACGCGAAGCGTCCAGAATTCCTCGATATGTCCCCCCGCCTCCCGCGACGGCCAAGCAAGAATTTAGAGGCGTCTGGGGTCCGTCCTGGGCCCGTTGGACGCCACCATACAGGGCGCTGAAAAACAAAGAGGTCAAACTATCAAACAACGATTCGTTCTAACATTAGGTCGGGCCTGTCACCCTACAGGGGGATTTTCGACGAAAAATTCAAAATACCCTCAAAATAGCAGAAAAATGCTCCAAACTGGTCAATATTTTTGAATATCCTCAAATACCCTCAAAATAGTCCCCGATTCTTTTTTCAATATTTTTGAATATCCCCCCTGTAGAGGGACAGGCCCGACTCAATTTTAATACTGATTTGTTTTCTGCGACCGCCAGGCGGGCTTATTTTGCTTGTTGTCCGGCATCGGCGCCGAGTGAACTCAAATGCAACTTCGGGGCGCCTCTGCGTGCCAAGTTTGAGTTTGGGCAAAGAGTTAGGACTGAGTTCGGGCTGCTGCGCGGCTTTCTTGGGGCCCGTTGGGGCACGCCCAGGGCCGCCCACGCGCTCAGGGCCAGCAGTACGAATATCTCTTCGCACGCATGCGTCACCAAGAAACACGTGGGAACACCAATATACATGCTACGACGGGTGAAGCGTCTGAACCTCCTGCCTACGTCTTTTCCCTCTGAGAAGCGACTGGACCATCGGCAGGGGGGCTGGGGCCCTGTGAGCGCGGCAGCGGCGCATTGCGCGGCGACTGACGCGGTCGCCCCTCCCTCAGTCGCCGAGCTGCGGCGTCTGCAGCAAGAAATCACTCCTGTTCGCCTTCCTGTCGTACGGGGTGACGCCACAGGCCTCGTCCAGCGGATCGGCCTGGGCGAACGGCTTGACGCTGTCCAGCAGGCTGGCCCTCTCGGAGTTCAGGATGATCCGCACGCCACCCATCCTGTCGAGCCGGTGGGCGAACTGGTTCTGGGGGCAGTTCATGAACATGCTGTTCACTGGCACGTTGAGCCGCTTGGCGATGCAGTGGACGATTGTGATGGGCTTGTTTTCCACCACCACCACCATAAGTTGGAGGGGGAAGGAGGTGGAGGATGAGGAGGAGGAGGAAGAAGAGGAGGGGGAGGAGGACCCTCTCCCCCTCCAACTCATGGTGGTGGTGGTGGAAAGCAGGCCCATCAGATTGCGGGCCCGAATTCGGCGTGGACCAGGATGCAGTCCACCTTGATTCGCGGGTACACGCAGTCGAGCAGCTGGGTGTACTCCAGCAGATACTCGGGGATCAACTCGGGAGTCTGGTAGACGTGGACCAGCCGCACCCACCGCGCGTCCTCGTTCTGCTCGATGTACTGCATGGCCCTGTTCAGCTCGCTCATGTTGGCATGCTTCGTGAAGTAAACTACCCCCAAACTTCTTAGTGTCTGCAGCTTTGTCGTCGCCCAAGCATGGACGGCGTCCATGTCCACTATGTGCTTGATAATCGCCTGGGTGTTTTTAGAGCTATTGAGCATACCCAAGAAGGCAGTCAAAATACTTGCTCGGACAAACGTCGTCATGACAACTATCACTGTTATACCATAGTAGATGTAAAAATATGCCAGGACGTCAGGATGAATCAGAACCACAGCGGTGAATGCGATGCACACCATGGTCAGCCCAATGATAAATCGTGCAGGGTGGCACGTAATCTGTCGTGGAAGCGTCGGGCGGGTGATTTTTGTCATGAGCCCGCAGAAGGCGAACAGGCCCATCACGAGCAAGAACGAAATGGAATATATGGCCGCGAGCTGAGTGATGTCACCATCGAGAATGACGCACATGGATGAGCACACCCCGAAGAACACGAGAATGGTATAGTGCGGCGTGCCTCTCCAAGAGTTCGTGATAGAGAAGAACTCGGGCAGGCACCGGTCACCAGCCATGCGCTGGAAGAGCCCGACAACACCCACGTAGCTCGTGAGCACCGCACCAGCGAGGCAGAGGAGGGCATCCGCCACAACGATGTCGCGCATGATCGGCCCGGCCACGCGGTTGGCCATGAAGGCCAGGGAATAGCCAGACTCGGGGCCGTTCAGCTCGTCCATGGTCATGACGCAGGAGGCGATGGCCGGCATGACGATGTTGATGATGGAAACACAGATCCACATGTTCCTCAGCGTTTTGGGGAAGACCCCGGGCTTCTGCTCCTCCACGAAGTTGGCGGACGTCTCGAACCCAGACACCCCGAGCATCGCCGAGGAGAAGCCGTAGAAGATGGACTCCAGGGCGGGAGGCTGCCGCGGCCAGTGGAGGTTGGCGTGGAACTGCCCGAGGCCCTGGTCGGCCACGAAGAGCAAGCACATGCACGTGAGCATGAACAACACGGACAGGTGGAAGATGAACAGCAGGGTGGCCACGAAGGAAGACTCCTGCATGCCCATCAGCATCAGGGCCGCGAAGAAGCCAAGGATGCTCACGGCGATGGGCACGGCGTCCAGTCCGCTGCAGAGGGGGGAGTACTGCACGTACTCGCCCGCGCTCACGGATGACACCACACCTGTGGCGGTGTACGAGAGGATCGTCAAACACGCGGTGACAGAGGCGGTCTGCTTGCTCGAAGTGTTCAGCAGCAGGTTACCCGCCACCGTGTCATAGGTACGCGCGCTGAAGCCTGTTGGGGATGCCTGCGAGCTGTCTGTCAGGGCTTCTGTACTCAGCCAGCCACCTACCCCACTTACACACACTCACACACACACACACACGAACGCACGCACGCACGCACGCACGCACGCACGCAAGCACACACACATGCACACACACACAGACACACACCACTGGCAGCACGACCTCGTCAGGGATGCCCCCCTGCGCCCGCCCACCTTTTCACTTCCGGCGTTCTTCTCGGGCGTATGACCGCCCCAAGACGGCAAGACGGCTGCGTTATGTCCCAGAGATCAGCCCTCAGACCCCAGAGGCTCAGCATCCCACCCCCCCAAGAGAGGCACCGAGAATCCCCCAGTATGCCACCAGCAAGGACCATGAGAAACCAAGCAGAACTGAAAAACTGATCGCACTCCACGCTATTTGACTTCGGACGTTTTTCAGCTCAAGATGGTTGCGGAAAAGGCTCCCAACAACATGAAAACAAGAGCCCGCCCCCCGACACAGCTGATATCGACCCGATAACGATTAAACACGCGCCGTCGAGGGGCCCTCTTGGGCCGTCTCGGGGCCCTCTTGGGAGCCTCTTGGGCCGTCTTGGGACGGTCGTGGGGGCCTTCTGGGCGATCGTGGAGCGCCGGAAACTCGAAAAGCCGAGACCCCCAAAATATGGAATTACAATGGGAGGCGACGCACAAGAAACCCACCGCAAGAAACCCGACCCTGAAATCCACCGAGGTTTCTTGGTCCAGGGTTGGGTTTCTTGCACTTCGGCTGCAAACGAAGAAACCCAGGGCACCCTGGCCCGAGCGGTTTCTTGACTGATGGCGTCACGCAATTTGACATCAAGAAATGCGCCCCGAAATGCACCCACTTTCGGGCATGCGCCCCGAAATGCGCCAGCGCCCACTTGACAAACTGGCAAATCCCCGCGGGTGGATGAGCAACGCGGGGCGAACAATCCGAGTGGCGGGCGAAGAAACCCAAGGTACCCCGACTGTCCAGAAGTTTCTTGGAAGTTCGGGCGCGCGTCCCAAAACTGACCGACGCCCAAAAAACGGATGCCCTGGCATTTGCAATGTCTTCGAAATTGCGGCGACCGTCCGCGCCGAACGCCAGCCAAAGAAGCCCAGGGAACCCCGACGAAACGTAGGGTGTTCTTTTGCCATGGTCCCCCACTGTACCCGGTGACGCACCCAACCCACTCTAAACATCTGGCGAATAGGTTTAGGACCGCTCACGTCAAACAAACAAGCGACAGGACTCTCAGTGCGCATGAGCTCCCAGAAAGTATCAACGGCCCCCGAGAGAGCCGCGAGATCAATTGGGATCCCTGTACAACTCCACTCTGAGCGACCTCCCAGGAGCCCACCAAAATGGCAGCAATTTCGAATTTCGCAGCCTCCCAGGGAACCGCGAGGTCTCAACTGGGTCCCCATACAACTCCACTCCGCTGGACCTCCCAGGAGCCAACGAAAGTGGCAACAGCTTCACACGTCACAGCCACCCAGGGAGCCGCGAAATCTCGACGGGATCCGCGTGCAACTCCAGTCCGCTGGACCTCCCAGGAGCCCACGAGAGTGGCGACAGTTTCACACGTCGCAGCCCACCAAAGAGCCGCGAAGCCTCAACTGGGCCCCCGTACAAGTCCACTCCGCGCGACCTCCCAGGAGCCCAGGAAAGTGGCAACATTTTCACACGCCGCAGCCCCCCAAGGAGCCGCGAGGTCTCAACTGGGTCCCCGTACACGTCCATTCCGCGCGACCTCCCAAGAGCCCGCGACAATGGCGACAATTGGCCCTTTCGCGGCCCCCCAGGGAGCCGCGAGGTCTCAACTGGGTCCCTGTACAGCTCCACTCCGCTGGACCTCCCAAGACAAGGCAAGACAAGACAAGACAAAACAAGAGCCCGCGTCGAGGCACTTCCGATGGTACGGAGGATGGGCGACGGGGCGCCGGCGTGGGCTGGCCGCTCAGAAGCTGGAGCCGGGCCTTTGGAGCCGCGGTCGGGGAGATGGGAGCAGGTGTCGGAACCAGTCCGACACGGCCTGCCGCTGACTGGGAGGACTCGTTGCTGTTCGTCGCAGACGATGCGTATCGAACCCGGCGCTGGGAACTTTGGAATTAGACAAAAGACGAGAGCCGCCACAGTCGGACAGGTGAGGCCCGTGTCGGAGCCGGGATCGGAGAGATGGGAGCCAGACAGAGAACGGGAAAGACGGGAGCTTGAGTAGGAGCCAGAGTCGGAGCGATGGGATGGGAGCTGGACTCGGGAAACTGTGAGCTGGAGTCGGAGCCGGAATCCGAGAGAGGGCAGCAAGCGTCGGAGAGATGACAGCAGGAGCCGGAGCCGGAGTCGGAGAGATGGGATGGGAGCTGGAGTCGGAAAGTTGGGAGCCGAAGTCGGAGCCGGCGTGGGAAAGATGGGAGCCTGAGCTGGAGGCGGAATTAGAAAGCTGGGATGGGAGCTGGAGTCGGAAACTTGGGAGCCGGAGTCGGAGATCTGGCAGCAGGAGTCGAAGCCGGAGTCGGAAAGATGGGATGGGATGGGAGCTAGAGTCGGAGCTAGAGTCGGAGAGACGAGAACCACTTATGGTTAAGGTCGCCGCAAAAACCCATCCTCGAGAGTTTCCCACTTTGTCGTGGAAGCAATGTCAAGTATCTGTAAAGGTGTGAAGCATGATGACGAGGATGGTGACATGAGATGAATTCTGACAGGCTTGTTGTCGTAGCTGCGTCGTCGCCCGCTGCACTCGAATACTATCGAAAATCGTGTATTCGTCTTTGTTTGGGACGACCTCTTCTGCGGGTTGCGTTGCAGCTGAGGTCTGATTCAGGGGCCCGCTGTAGAGCAAGGTGTGCCCATTCGGCGGCCTTCGTTGTCGCGAGGTGCCGCACCCACCTCCCCTTCTTCGCGGGCGCGCAAACATGGATCGGGGGAGGTGCCCTCCCCGAAATGCGGCCGGTGCCGCCTCGCTCGGCGGTGGAAATCCGCGATTTCCCATGGAAACGGGACACGTCGCTAATCCACGCCCCCGTGATCCATTTTTGCAATCGCCTGATCCGTTGTCGCGCGGTGCCGCACCTACCTCTCCACTTTTGTCGCCGCAGTAGCGTTGTCCAAGCGTCGATCTTGAGCCAGTTCACGCCCTCCTCCGCGGCGCGCGTGGACCGATGGACCTCCCAGGAGCCCACGACAGTGGCGACAAAGAATGCTCACCATTCGCAGCCCCCCAGGGAGCCGCGAAGTCTCGACGGAGACCCCGTACAAGTCCACTCCGCGCGACCTCCTAGGAGCCCACGACAGTGGCGACAGTTTCACACGTCGCAGCCCCCCAGGGGCCGCGAGGTCTCGACGGACGCTCAGTACAACTCCACTCCGCGCGACCTCCCAGGAACCCACGACAGTGGCGACAAGTTCACACTTTGCAGCCCCCCAGGGAGCCGCGAGGTCTCAACTGGGTCCCCGTACAACTTCACTCCGCGCGACCTCCCAGAAGCCCACGACGGTGGCGACAAATTCACAATTCGCAGCCCGCCAGGGTGCCGCGAGGTCAAAACGGGACTGCGGCGCAAGCAGGACGCAGGAGAGGAAACGAAGAAGGCAGTGTCTGCGTGTCCCCCCACTTCGCTGGACCTCCCAGGAGGCACGAAGCAGGAGGCAGGAGTGGGAGGAGGAGGATGCAAGAGGGGGAGGAGAAGGAGGAGGAGGAGGAGGAGGACAGGACAGGACAGGACATCCGCATAAGGGGGTCAACGCCGAGACGCCCGCAAAGGAGCTGCGGGGTACGACTTGCACATTCCCCTGCGATTGTAGTATGCCGCACACCCAAGGGAAAGCATTGGTTTAGCGCTGGGCGAATCCTCTGGGCCGTCTGGGGGCATCGGGGGACAAGCGCTCGCCTTGTCGCTTCGAACTGCACTCGGGCCCCTCCTGGGGCCGTCTTGGGGCGTCTTGGGTGCCTCTGGGCAATGTTTAATCCCTCTTGGGAAGTCTTGGGGCCCTCAGGGCCGTATTGAGGCGATCTTGGGGGCCTCGAGGAACGTCGTGGACGTCGGAAGCTGGAAAAGTCCAGAACCCCCAAAAGATTGAGACACCTGAAAGAAAGAATGTTGTTTTTCCTATTGGGGCCGTGGGGAACGCTCGTCGAATCCTCTTGGGCCGTCTTGAAGCTGCCCGGGGCTGTTCGGAAGCCACGCGGGACATGTCAAATCCTGTCGGTGTCTCTTTGACGCCGCTTAAGGCCGTCTGGGCGGCTCTCGGGCCACTGCAGGTGGTCCCTGGGGACCCCGGAGCACCCATGGCGACACAAGGCAGCTGGGCAAAGGCCCCCGATCCTGTTTCCCTATATCTATAAAAAAACACAGACACACCCATACACGGGCATACGTATGTTTGTACTTACGTGCATGTGTATGTGCATGCATACAAACAGACCTATGCATAGAAATAATCATATACATCCACATGTACACATACATATGCATATGCAACCACCGATGCATGCACGCACATATACAAACATCGAGACATGTACATATGCATAGACATACTCATAACCATACACAAATACATCACCTATGCATACACATGCACCTATACACATGCATTGATCCATACATACATGTACAAGCACATATACATATAATATGCACGCATACATGCATACACACATACCTACATGCGTGCATCGATGCGTACACACATGTATGCGTATAGATACATACGTACATGCATACATTTATAAATGCGTAAACATACATAAACACAAGCAGGCACACATACAGCACACGCACATACACACATGCGTACATACACGCACACCTGTCCCCGCCCCTACCACCCTACATATATATATATATATATATATATACAGACATGCATGCGTCCGTACACACATACATACTTACATACATGCATACAACCATACATACATACATAAATAAATACGTACATGCCTACGGACATGCATACGTGTGTATATATACACACGTTCATACATA